AACAATAATTCTTTTTTTAAATTCCGATAAATTGATTGATGTCGCAGACCTTGTAACATAATTTTATTTGGAATCTACTTTAATTTGCGTTTAATTGAATCTGAGCGTTTGACAGTCAATGATGATAATAATTATAATTCTAAGTTGTATGATACATGACGTATACGATTAAATGGGTAAAAATTAAATCGTATTCCCGAGGTTTGTTTTAAACTATAAATACGAGTAATAAGTATTTGATTGTAATTTATAATGAATAAAAAATATACGCATGCACGCTGCGTCCAAAGACCGTGCGTAATATATATTGTGTAATAATATTATTATACGTTTATATTATTGTTTATTGTATATCTGAAAAAAAACATGCAATGTCACCGACATCCGGGGCCTGCCACCGAACGATAATACTACCGTTGCTGCAACGCGATAATAATATTATTATATTATATAAAAATGAAAAATAACGGCCAACACGACCGTTTCCCTTGACGGTTCGCCTAAAAAAAAATAATAAAATACTAAAATATATATCCACCGAAATTGGACCGTATACTCGATTGGCGCTCCATTGTTTCGTACACGTACTTGTTGTACATAATACAGTTTTGCGGGCACTGGTCACCGCCACCGCGGCTTTCACTACTATACGGAATATAGTAAAATATATAATAATATAGCTATACGAAAATATCACACGGAAACGGTAATTTATATAGGCGATGATTGGAAAATCGAAATGTCAAATGTTTCTCCAAATATTCGTTCAGTTATACAGGATGATTTACCAACCATGCCCCCGTCCCAAGTATTCCTTTAAATAACGAACGATTGTGTTTTTTGGAATTTTTTTATATAATTCTCAAAACAATATTTTAAATTATTTAAATTTTGTATACAATTTAAGGAGTGCCCCGTGGCGATACACACTTTTTTTTATCAAATGAAAACCAACCTGTTTTACAGTAAAAAGCAGGTGGTTCTTTTCAAAATATTTATGTATCTATCTAAATTGAAACTAGTAGTTTTTGAGTTATTAAAATGTATATAGTAAGGATATAGAAGTTTTTAAAAATGTAATATTGAATCTAGTATTTATCTAGCATTTTTACTCGAACAATTTTATACAAATTAAAAAATATTGATGGATTTATTTTATTAATTAAGTACTATAATTTTTAAATCATCATAAGCCCTCATATTTAATCGTGGACCAATTTCACTGGTTCTCAAAGTTAAATGATTCAAACCACCAACCGGTTCGAATTTTGATTGAAAACATTTTCAATAAATGCTTAAGCAGAAAAAAAGGTCGTTCTCATTTGGAAAAAAAGTATTGTAATTTATAAATAAATTATACTGTCACAAGACTCTCCTTAAATCAGGGATCTTCAACCCACTTTATCTTTATTTGATGATCGCGAACACATTTTAAGCATCTAGTACTTAAGTATGTATTTTGTTAATTTAATTTAATAATTATGCGGCCTGCGAGATTTTTTTAAAATTAATAGGTGGCCCTCGCTTGAAAAGTTTGAAGACCTCGGCCCTAAATGGTATAAAAATCCGATATAAATCTAAGTAAGCATTTGAAAATTAGGTCTTTCATAAGTACCTACACTTCAAAAATTCCAAAATCAGCATTTAAATAAATTCATTATAAATGGACAAAAAAAAGGTGGGAAGGAGTGAGCATGTTTGATGAATCATCCTGTATAATATTATTATTATATCGCTGTGTAAAGAGGTATTTCAATATTTGGCGTTTACGATCCGGATGCCGGGCGATAACAACGATCTGAAATATCTCGTATACGTGGTGGCGCATATACCTACCTAATCGTAAAATCCCGATCACTTTCAATGGGTTGACGCGGATGTGATATATATGTATAAATGTGTATTGCGCGCATATGTATTGTATTCGTACCGGGTGGCAGATGCAAGCACAATAATATTGCCCCGAAAAATTTTTGATGGGGGGAGGGTCGTACATTCTACTCATAGAGCATGCGCGTCTATGTAGTGTTTATAAAAATCCTACAAATTCTCTACTCTGCCCAGCTAGAGACCACACCGCGGTCCTTCGAAAATCGATTGTTCTGCACATCCCCACGCGACACCCTGCCATGTACAGGAACCGGTCTCGGTGGTAGGGTGACACGCGTGGGGATATAGCAGAATCGTCGAGTACAACTCTCGCTGACCGAGTTATATAGATCACGTACCTATACGGCGTGCACTCGTGTAATGTATTATTGTAATTACGCTGTTTATAATGCATTTAAATAAGTTGAATCTATAATATTATTATTATTGGTGGCCGTTACATCGTACCACCGATGTGTGCCGACTGCCAGAGAAATTGTCACTCGCCCGATAGACTCGTTGTCGCCGCGTCTCGCGCGAATTCCTCGTCACGGTTTGCATCTTGCGGCAAGATGATGATCATTCTCTGTAATCGATTCGTATCGCTGTAGCACAGTTCTCGTACGTCGAGAAAGACTTTAAACGCGCATCTCGCCTGTGTTTTTTTAAACGAATGCACTCTGTCACTTTATTTTACGACGTTCGTATTCATATTATTAAGCTCTCGGTTTCCCCCAATAAACTCTACCGACCCATTTCTTTGATGGAACGTTATCGAGGTTAGAAAAACCCCAGGTTTTTTAATAAACCGGGTTGCGTTAATAAATTGGTAAATGACCATAAAAACTTTAAAAAAAAACTAAATCACCCAGGGACTTTCGTTGAATTATTTTAGTGCGGGTTTAAATGGGTTTCATTAAAAAAAAACCATTTATACCCATATAGTTGAACCACTAAAAATTAATACTTGGAGTTTATTAATTTTTTATAAATACTTTGATACAACCGATTCCTAAAAGTTTAATCCTTCATCCTAATAAGTTATTAGGTAAGATTTTATGGTTAGATTATAAATTAGAAGTTAGAATATAGGTGAGCAATAATTTATAGTTAAGTACAGTAACAATAACTGAGTAACTAATGCTATTCCCAAATTGGCCATTGCCAGTATATTGTTTGTTTAAGTTTAAAAAAATAAGATAAGATAATGGGGTTTTTTGGGTTGCTGATTGGGTTTTTTAGCCAATTCTGAACATAAACGTATTTCCACACATAACTGCACGCTCGTCGTCTATTCTATATCATACAGAACGGTTCCCCAAGCACGCGTTCACCCCCTCCCCCCTTATCACCACTTTTCCCTTTAACAATAATCATATTCAAATTAAAATTTTTGGAATTTTTTATGTTCTTAGACTTTAAAAATACCTTTGATTTAATTTATTATTTAAGAAGTATTCTGTCGTGGTACAAACTTTTTAAAAATCATAAACAATTTTTTTTCCTATATACATTGTTAAGCAACGGATTTTAGATTCTGAGTGGAACGATGAATGTATTGATTTTACAATGATATGTAGATACATGAAATTTTCACTTGTTGTTTATATTTGCATTTTCTATACATGATAACATTTTCAAAATATTTTGATTTATTTTGAACTGTTTAGGGACATTTTCAGTTTCCAATTTTATAAGTTTTTTTTTTTATGAATATCAATAATTGAATAATTATTTTGTAGTTAAAAATTTATAAAATGTTTTTATATCGAAGGATTGAAAACTTCAAAGAAGATTCTACGTAAGTAGTTTATTCTGTTACCAAAAAATCTAAAAAATACATGAGCACAGTTTATTTTTATAGCCATTTTAAGTTCAAATTTGGACGAAATTACGTATTATAAAACCTAGAATAACTTTTTGTTTTTGATTGTGATTATAATTATTCGCGGGTACTTGAAACTCCTAAAGTATACTACTATATATCTATGATAGTATCACGGTTTGTATTGATGTATAACACGTTATAAGTACCTAATGGACATTGTGATATGATTAATTTGGAATTTATTATAGGTACCTATTATAGGTCAATTTTTTTTTAATACCATAGATAAGTATATAATAAGTCTTATACCTAGACTGACATACCGTCTCCGCTCAGAATCGTTTTTTATACAATGATATTATATCATTGAATTCAAATTTAATATCATCCATTATACAGTGACCTACTTGTAACCTACTGTACAGCAGAACACCTTTTTTTTAAATGATTCATGCTTGTATGATGTTTCTATAATTCCAACGAGTAATTTATGAGTTAAACTGTGTACTTACTAAAAATAATACGATTTGAAAAATATAGTAAATAATATATCTATTAAGATTTTAAAATTAGTAAAAACTATTTGAGGATAATGAATACTGCATATATGGTGGCTATATATTATAAAATATATTAGGTAGGTAGGTACCTACAATTATTTTAATTACTAAACAATTTTCTAGGACTATTGTCAAACAAAGTTTGATATACATTAACACTTACTACTCGTCAAATTTTGATTTTGATACAATCAAATTAAAAAGAACAAAAAAGGTTGTCCACATTTGAAAAAAAAAAACAAAATTTTTGTCGTTCAGGACACTCCCTAAATTGCTTTAAAAAACTAAAGTATTCCAAAATAAAGCCCTACAAGTTACAAAAATCGAAATTCGAATGAACTCTTCATTAAAGGTAACAACGTGGAAGATGAATAGTTGGTGAAACACCCTGTATAGGATTACGCGTCGTGTACAATAATAATAATAATAATATTAATATAATATATTGTGCGTTCGTCGAGCGCTAATGTTTTTCCGTATAATGTGGTGTATGTATATATGCGATGATAATATGTATTCGATGTCGGGTCATGAGGGGGGCGGGGAGGGCACGCCGAAAATCTCCGAGAGAGCGAGCGAGGGAATCGGCAAACGACGACTTTTGTGGCGTTGGCGTGGGCGGCGGCAGCGGCGGGAACGACCCTGCCCGCACCGGCACCGACGCACTACGTGCCATCTGGCGTGAGCATGCCCGCCGCACACACCACCGCCACCACTACCACTCACGCACCGCGTCGACGGGGATGGGTTTCGGCGGCCTGTGCGCGCAGTGCCACCGTCGTCCCGACAGTGGTGAATCGTGCGTGGCGTCCGCATCGGTCCGTCCGGGTTTGGGTCGTCGCGCGCCGCGGCCGTCGTCTGCGAACTCGCGCCGCACATGCTGCTGCCGGACGCCGAGGACGACGACGACGATGAAAAAACATTCCAAGCAGCTTGAGAAGCGCATCGACGACCAACGACAGCTGCTGCTGCAACAGCAGCGGTTACCGGGGGCGGACGCCGATAAGCGGAGACCGTCGTTGTCGTCGTCGAAATGCAAAAACGGCATACTGAAAAACGAGTCCAGTCCCGAACTGTCGCGGCCCGCTTCCCGCAAGTCCAGACAGTACTTCCTGGAACCCATCCGTCGGTGGAATTCTTTCCACAACAGCCGCGAACGCAAGTCCAACACCGCCGCGGCCGCTGGCACGGCCACCCCCGCCTCGCCGTCGTCGTCGTCCACCAACAACCTGCCGTACCTGCAGACCTTGGTCAACCTGCAGCGGGAGTCTAAGAGCGCTTGTGCCCGACTCGCCCAGTCCGTGTTGCCCAAAACGCCGCGGGGAGCCGAAAGCGCGCCAGTCCTCATCGGCGGGGCCTCTTCTACCTCCGTATCTGCCACCGCCGACGATGTCCAGTCGCCGAAACCGCTCCAGCAGAGTGGCGGCGTCGGATGCCCGGCGAAAAAACAAAACTCCAGCCCCAACCTGTTGTTGGTGTACGACCGCCGGCAGCAGGGTGTCGCGGGAGTTAATATCGGTGGCGGAAACAGCCTGACGAATTCGCCTCGTCGGTCGGCCAGGAGGCCGAAAACGCCTCCGCCGCACCCTCACCACAGCCAACAACAACAACAACAACAACAACAGCTAGCGGCGGCGGTGGCTAATAGCAGTTGTGCCGGCGGTGTGGGGTCGGACGCTACCGGTTCTTCTAAAATACCGTTCGCCATAATGGTGGGTGACACGCCGGTCGTGTGCCAAGACACCGTGCCCAGAATCAAGGCAATTCGCGCCGATTCGGTGACGGATAAATCGTCGTATCTGGCTGTCGACTTGTCTCCGCACCGTCGATACTCGTTTTGGTCAGTAAAACGCGCGTAAAACCTCTTGTGACAGAGTGAACCGCGCAAACTTACAACTCTGGAAATATTATTTTTTTAATTTTATTTTTGGGCCAACAAGTCTCGTGTGACCACTGACCAGAATATAATAATAAGGATAATATATAGGACGCTTAATGAACACTTTTAACCGTGTATAGACTATAGAGGCATGTTTGTTCCAAACCGTGAACCCACGGATCAAAGGTTTTTTTCGTTATCAAGTTGGTCATCGACAGATACAATTTAGTTTACAATTTGTGTCATCTATATTAATAGGTGTGTTGTGTAATATAAGAAATTCATCAATTATCAGCGAAGCCTATCTCACTCATATTTCTGAAATTTGGTACGTAGGTATTCCTATACCCAAGGATGTACGTTCACCCAAAGTCAATTTTCAAAATTCGCATTTCAAAGACCTACTCTCTCAGGGCAATTTTTTGCTTCACAAAAAACGAATATTTTTTTAATTGTGTGGCCATTGATTACGCAAAATAAAATATAATTATTATTATAATTGGATATCATTTTAGATCTGAATTTTATATTTGGTCAAATCACCCAATTGACTGTGTCAAGAATATTATGTATAGCTTAAATTTAACGGAGTTTAAGACAGTATAAATCCACTGCCATTATTCAATTTATCACGGTCAACGTCGTGCAAGATCGGCTAAAGATAATACAGTATATATAATTTAGATGTATCGGTTTTGTCACATGTATAATATGTATTTATGTATGATATTTTATTACTCGGATTTGTATTACTGCTGCATAATGCATGGTATTACATTCTGTATTTTCTCGGCCATAAACTCATCGAATTAATAAGAAAATATGTATATAATCTTTTAGAGACATTCTGTTATTACGGGCAAGAGCCTGGTAATACTATAGGTTTTACCGTGTGTATGTGTGTGTGTGTGTGTGGGTCGAATTGAGGCAAACGAATATTTCTATAATGCCGCCACGGATTGTAGCTTGTGGTTTTTCATAGTATCGAATATCTGCTCAGTAACATTCAGATATTGCGCAATTTACCTATCATTTTCGCATCAAAAGTTTTATTAAATTAATACTGGCTCGCGTTTAATTCTGATCGGGCTATTGTTGTTTTTGTGGTAGGTATTCAATTAGCATCAGTCGTCCACCCCTCGTTTTTAAACCGTGATATTATATTATAATTATATTAAAATAGTTTTTTAGTTATTATTACTACTGATATAGATTTATAACATTGTATATTATGTAATTCAATTATAAACTACCTATATATATATTTCACTAGTGAAGTGCGTGGTTTCGTAATAACTATCTAAAATAAAACAATCGTGACAACCATTATTGTTATTACTTATTATATTATTTGCTTTATGTAATAGCAGGTGTATTATTTAGATTTCTTAGTATTTTTTTAGTTTTGCTGACCTGTTCAAAAAATATGTCCACTGTACATCGAATAAAATAATAATGGCGTCCTCAGGAATTTCATAAGTGTTCTGTTATTCGGAACTCGCCATCTATTTACCCTATTTTATATTTATACTGAGCGAATATTAGACAACACAATGTTAATGCAAATATAGGATTTTAATAAAATACACTACTTGTCCGAGTTTATGGGTTGTATAGCGAAGTTTCATTTCCAATAAAATATAATAACTTCTGAAGTACATAATATTATAACGATGGTATTTGGAAAATATTTTGACAGTATAAATAGGAAAAATGTACGAGGTATACCGACAGCCGACCTCAATACACGCACAATCGTTCCTTTATAGTTACTTGGTTATGGGAAACGTCGGTGGTATTTGTATGACAGTTATTAATTTTACATTGTCACTTGGAAAGTGTTTTCACGGTATTTGTTTGTTCAAGTACACAAAACAATATAAATGGATACATATATATACTTTTAATTTCTCATTTTGGGTAAAAAAATATATAACACCAGCGAGTACCTACACCGTGGATTTGATTTTTTTTTTAATTCAATTCAGTTGTATGCACAATCCTCAAGGGTTTGCAAAACAAAAAATAAGGTTATTCCATGCAATATAATATATCATATATGCTTGGAATCGTTTCACAAAAACAAATGCATATCAATAATTTTATTTGATTGACACACTTTATTATACCAACGAGTAGCAATAATTCTATAACCAACTCGATATCTACAAACGGAAACATCGTTATCAAATATTTTGCAATCTCTAGGGTTACACAATATATTCTAACTATTTCCATTGCCTTTTATTATATTTTAGTAGTTTTTCCCAACTTATTATTAAATAGTATCGATTCATTAACGGGTGTTATTGCCTAAAAAAATAAAATATTTATTGAAAATAATAAATTGTTTATAATATAAATACTATTATAATATTTAATACCATCCCTTAAATCATATTTATTATGACATATTGACATATTAAAATTATGACTGGTTTAAAGCACAAAAAATGTAAATAATACAACAAATTATTTTTGACTATACTTCCGTATGTAATCAAATATAAGTAAAATATTTTTTAGTGCTCTTGTCTACGAATTAATCATCTAGAAGATTTCTGGAAATTAAACCATAGTTATTGTATCATTAATCAACTTTTAGTAATATAGTAGTAGTGCTGTCTATTGTATTCGTCTATTGCGTGTTAGTTGTATCTACAATTTATATAACTCGTAATACCTGTGATTAAAAGTTAATGTATACTTCAAAGCAGAAACCTTTAGTTTTCGAGATTAATGATTATGAAACACTAAAGAAAATGAACTATATCAATTTTTTCGTGCACCCAAGTCAAAGGTGTTTACGGTATATCGAAAGCATAAATATTATTACTTTAGGAGTCAAATTATTAAGTGCAGCTTATCATCATCGTGAAAATAACTGTCTAAAATTAAATGTTATATGTCATGACGATGCTTTCGTGCATCGATGAAGCTGAGTTTATACAAAACTTTTACTTATTCGTGTCAAAAAAATCGTTTGCGAGTCCTTTTGTATATTTCTCTTCTCTATTCCCTCGTCTATTCCCCTCACTCATAGTCCCATATAATATTGTATATTTATCTTAATATGCCACCCGTGACAATTGATCTCTTTTCGAAAATGTTTATGAGTATACAGACTAGCCTATTATACATTATACACTGTACAGTGTCTGTGTTATTGTGTTATAAATGTTTAATGTGCATTTATATTATAATAATATTTAGGAGTCATAGTGTAACTCGGTGGTAGGCTGCATTCACTAATGTGTGCTACAGGCACTAGGCATCGTCCGGCATCGCAAGCTATACCAGATGGGTGACCACTGACCACCCAGTTTCTTTGCGACGAATCCTCGCCCCACATAAACATGTGTTCTTAAAACCAACCGTAACCCCCAGAAAATGCTTATGAGTTATGACCATATTTGTCGATTTTCTAAGTCCAATAAAATATATCAATAATAATAATATTCAAATTACAAGTGTCCTACTTATAAATTAGCTAATATAGCTTACTATTATAACTTGTTCGTAATAATATATTTATAAATACAGTTGACAAAAAAAAACAGTTTATTTTTGATATGAAAACTACTACGAGCTTTAGATAAACGATTCATAATTATTGCCCTGACAGTCGTTGCCACATCGTATCGTGCAGTGTGGCAAGCGAACTTGTTATATACAGTGCCACTGTGCCACGCCAATACGTTACCATAACAATACATACTTACTACTTAGTTTAAACATATTTAACTTTTTTAAGACACGAACTACACTCAACACGAGTAGTTTAGAACACCCCTTGAATATTAAAGACCTGTTATTATTGTTAAATGTCGATTATGTTTATTCAGACTTAACTATTTGTAGGAAATATTATATAATTAATCATATAAAAAGTACTTCTATTACACCTATATTAGTTGCACAACTACAACTGGTCGAAATCAAAGAATAAGAAGAAGGGTCTTCTGAGTCGACCTGAGTAGGCAGATGTTTGGTAAAATGAGTATTAGTATTTACTAAATAGTAAAAACATTTTTGATTCTGAGTAACGTAATGAATGTATTTATTTTGCAATTATGTATTTTTTGTGTATATTTACACGATGTATAGACTTATAATAGAAAAAATGTTTTGATTTTCAAGGTTGGACGGTGGTTGTCTGTAGAAAAATGGATCTTGTTGGTACTTTGAAGAAATCAAAATAGAAAATTCCCAATAACAATTTCGTTTTTTTGGTGTAGCTCAAATCGAATAACCGCGGTATACAAAGTTCTGCTGGAACTAAACAAACTAAATAATATTTAAACTTGATTTTTTTTATAGACATTTAAGTTAAAATTTGGATGAAATTCGATATTTAAACGAATAATAATAAATGTAGTTAGTTTGTTGAAATTCAAAAATATTTTCCGTGGGAATTTGAAACTTTTATGTATATTATTATTATTAATCAATGGTTTTATATACAGACAATAACATTTTAAAAACTTTTAGATTAATTGTATGCCAATTTAAAGTTTATACTGTACTATTAATAGTAAAATAAATTACTGTAATAATAATTATTAGTAATATATTTATATGATAGTATGCTGACAAGACCGTATCGTTGTTCGTACCTATGCAATAATTTATCATTGAATTCAAATTTAACTCATCAATTACACTAATTACAATGACCTATACTCAATGATGATAAGGTCCACTCAACTCCTACTTTACAGCAGAGTGGGGACCTAACCTTTTTTTAACTTTCTGAACCTCAAAGTTCAATTACAAATCAAATTTTAATATAGACCATCTGAATAAAATAGCTTTGAAAAAATTAATGATAAAATGTTTTTAACCGTCTAGGGGTGGGACAAACAAGATTTGGTAAAAAATCTTTTCGTCTATTGTCTAATATTTTTATGAAAATATCTGCCTAGCTATACTCCTACTGGACCGCGCATGGCACATATATTTTGAATAATAGAAAAATAACTATTAATGTTTGTCGCATACTCCATGTATTTCGAGTAATCAATACCTTGTTGCGTGTTATATAATATATACACATACACACCCATTCATATATATAATAATATATTATAGATTATTTCATTAAAGGTTTACACCGAAGTATGTTTTTCGTTTTTATTTTTGCGTGTTTTTCAACACGTACCACGTTTTCCCTTTTCCGCTGCTTACATACCTATATCATATATATATATATATTATATATATACAATAGTGTGTATAGAAGGACGCCTATATGTAGATATTTTACATATATGACGGTTGATTAATGAAACGTGTCACATGCGTGAAATAAAATCGTTGCCTTCGATATCGACCAAACAACACCCATACATCATATACACACATATATAACACAAACACATTTATTTATAAATATATTCAGGATCTGTAAGTTTCATCCCGATTGTTGAATTGTATCGTTGAATGTATGTGTTTCACGGCTCGAAAACCACTCTCGTATGTTTAATTGTAGTCAATTTAAAACGAGCCTATTATTCACAATATGATTGGCATTTGCCACTTGCTCGGCTTTGTCACGTGACGTCCCGAACAGATCGAAAAATATTTCTCTGCTTACTGTGGAAAAAACCGCAACGGATAATGGGTTAAGAAACCTTCCTGTATTAACCGTGCCGAAGACGCATTATGTCGGTATTAAGTATAAACGTGAGGAGGAAAATATTATACAAAATAATAAATGAGTCGTAATTTACATAAATATATTTCGGGACGCTACTAATTCCAATCTATTCTGTGCGTGTACCGCAGGTAAAAAGAATAACTGGGGTGTGAGATAGACATGGTGATTCACCTGCAAACACGCTCATGCCCAGTTTTCCCTTTTAATTATACATTCATCTAAATTATAATTTTTAAATACTTAATATTTTTTAAGTCCTGATACTCTTTATTCTTCAAATGAGAACCCCCCATGTTTACTGAAAATTATTAAACCATTGATTTTTTTGAAAATGTTAATGTATAGGTATATAAATTAAAATTTTAACCTAACCTATAGTTTCTGAGTTATTATATTACTAACAATACTAGCCCAGGATAATAGAAATTTCATGGCTTAGAAGATGTGGATGATTTAAAAATTGTAGAAATTATAATATTAATTTTTCAAAGGTATTTGTTTGAATTCAATTTCAATTTAGAACGTTTTAAAAAAAAATCTTTTGCTAGGCGATTGATATTGGAAAAACATAGCTCATTTGAAAAAATAACCTTGTACTGCAACAGGACAGTGCTTAATTGGTATAAAACATCCAAGTATTTGAAAATATTATATTCTTTAAATGAAAAAATTTAACCTAATTTGCACGTACAAATTCCAAAAATCAGAATTTGAATAAAAGCATTATTGAATGATAAAAATGTGGTCGGTAATTATTGGTGAAATGGTGTATCCTCCCTCCCCGGTATAGTGTATAATATATAACTTTGAAGTTTAAAATATTATTCAACATAGTTAAAATTTATTGTAATAACTAATAACATATTATAGATCATTGAAGTTTAATGATGTTAAATTGTACTTATCTCTTGTAATTTTTTATTTAATATTATTTAATTTGTTTTAATATACCAAATTAATTTCTAAATTATAAGCAAATTATTTAAATTTTAAATATATTAATAAAACAAATGAATTATATTGAATTTTATTCTTACTAATGACATTGATAATAATTTATACAGTATATTATATTATATTTTTTTTCGATCACATTTAATATAAATTTACGTCTTATCTGTTGGTCAAAAGTAAAAATATATTGTTAATACGTAATAAAGTTAAGTTATAGTCATAACACATTTATCCATGTTTGAATGTTTCTATAGGTAATTTTGGAAACCTACTATTTAGTGTAATCGACGATGTTATGTTGACATTCTACATGAAAACATGTGTACCTAATTTACCTAGTTACATTATTAATTTCAACATAGTTTAAAAAATGATATTCAGAAAACCGTGAAAAATATTGTACATTGTTATAGAAACAAAAATATTACTCAGTTAATTACATTTGTTTGTCGCGTTAGTTATGTTACACCCTGTACATTGAGAGAGAGACTCACTGTCTGCGGGGGTGCAGGAGAGGGTCGATCCTTTTACCCGTGACCCGAAAAGTTAGCAGCGTGACCGTGTTGCATTTCAATCCCTAACACACATACCACCACTCTTTCGACCTCTCTCACCACCAGTGCGACGTGTATTATATATATATACATAATTGAGTTGAAATCCCCGTCGAATTGGGTGCTTGTAACCTACGACATGTGCGATTTAGCTCTGTCCCATTCTTTTACGCTTTTGAGTTTTAGGTATACATCTCATATATATACATATATATTATGCGAGTAATGCGTATACATTCGACTTGGTTTCCGACGAGTACATAGTAGTGTGCCGTATGTGCGAGGAGGCTGTTTTGTCGAAATTCTAAATACATCATTCACTGTATACCTACTACATATATTGCTATTATTTATTATTATTATATACTATAACGATATGTACCTACTAACATAATATTATATTGCTCGCATATAATATATTATGTTTGTTGCCGCAACTAATTGTACAAAATATTATATTACAATATACGTTTTAACGGTGGAGGAATGCTCTTATGTGTGTTTTCCCACATTTGCCTATACCAAATTTTGTGTAAGTATATGCATTTGTTTAATGTTATGATGTCTTGTGTTACAGTTTTGGAAAACGAACCGGAAGCAACGCTAGACGACCCAACGAATGTTTCGTGTTGGAACCATCAGAGATGCTGGTGGTAAGTGATGTTTTTTTTTTTTCGTTATTATTAGCCATCGACCTCTATAATACGTTTTATCCGTTTTTTTTTCTTACGACCGATGGAATATATACGTTATATACTTATATCATATTATTGTTAGCGGTTTCGGTGGTTATAGTGGATATTTGTTCTAATTGCGTACAGAGTTAAGAGTATAAAAATATATTGCACCGCAAGCCAAAACCATTAGCATTAATCAGCGTGTGATTAAACAAAAATGATCTTTTTATCGAATAATGATTTATAGACGCGGACGCATCTACATATCGAGACAAACAAACGTTTATGTTTGTCGGTGTTTTTTTTTTTAGTTATGCTGCGCAAACATCTGTAGATTACGTACAGTAAGTATCTAATGTACCTATACAGCGGTAACCGGATAATAAAGAATATGATATTTATAATATTATGCTTTGTCGGACGCAGTGCTGTAATAAATTCTAGGAAGTATAAATTCTCGTCTCATTAGTTTTGTTTGATTTAATTTTCTTATTTTGTTGTAATTCAAAAACGAATAACCGTAGACACTAGAAATTTATATTATAAGTTTAATTTATCAATTCCTAAATACTTGATAAAATTTTCAAAATATTTTGACCGTTTTCGAGCTGTTTACGGACATTTTCAATTTTTTTAATTTTTTTTTTCTATAAATGTCAATTACATTTTATTTGTTTGTTAAAAAAACAGGAAAATTTTATAAAAGGCTCCTGATCATATATTGTTACAATAGTAGTTGAAAAATATTAAAAATGCAGTCACAATTTTTTTTTTTACAAGCATTTAAAGTTTAATTTTTGACAAAATGCATTTATCAAGTTTTTTTTTATAGTTATTTTATGTTCAAATTTGGACAAAATTAGTAATTACATAATATTAAATAACCAAGAATAACGATTTTTGCTTCGTCTCAATTTGAACATAAAATATCTATAATAAACATAATATAAAATATTCACACTGACAACCGTTTCCGCTCAGAATCATTTTTCGTATACAATGATATTATATCATTTAATTCAAATTTAATACCATCCATTATACAGTTACCCACTTGTAACCTACTGTACAGCAGAGTGACATCCACTTGGCCACCCCTTTAAATTTTAAATTTGATACATTTTGTCAAAATTCAAACTTTAAATGCTTATAAAAAAAAAAAATTATGCATATGTATTTTTAATATTTTTCAACTGCTTTTGTAACAATATATCAGGAGCCTTGTATTACATTTTCACTTTTTTTGACACAACAAATTATATTTTATTGACATTTATAGAAAAAAAAACATTGAAAATGTCCGTTTACAACTCGAAACAAGTCAAAATATTTTGAAAATTTTATCTCGTATGAAACTGATAAAATAAACATATGGAGTAAATTTCAAGTGTCTCAGATTACTCGACTCACGAAATCAAATTAACGGGTGGATTAGGAGGAGGCGATAGTAACTTAGTTACAACTTACATTACAATCACAAGAAAATATTGAACGAATTAATATAATATTATACTCATTATCCTTACTATGTCATATATTATCACGTTGTATATTCAGTCACACATAAATCGCTCTTCGTATGCCTTTGGTTGGAGCCGTGCGTGAAGAGCTATATAATATATAATATATATTCAATATAATATTTTTTATTTTAATAATTAAGAATTTTCAGGACTAAAGGTATAAAATAATTAATAATAATTGAATCAATACATTTTGACAACTAGGTAGGAAGTATAAATCTTGTAATAAGGCGTCAAATTCATAAAAATAAACAACTATACCTAATAAATGAAAAATATAAATATATTTGGCATGGCCGTATAGGTATTATACTATATTTTATTTCATAAAAATGTACACCACATTCCTATATTATCTAAAATTAATTTTAATTTTACCTTTATTGAATAGTATTAAAATAATATATTTTATGTGAGGATGTTCGAGTATACCATAATAATGATTTAGGCAGGTAGGTATTAGTACTATTAATTTATTATTAATATATCTAAATTTAATATCAAACTTTATTATCCTTAAAAATTAAAATGTATTCTTGTCTATACTAATTACCATTACTGAAATAATTTACAAGTTTTTAAGATAAGAAGTTTCCTCTAAACTTTAAGTTCAAAAGTTAATCACAATTTCGGATAAAATAATGGTTTTTGAAATTAAAATTTTGTTTGTGGAAATTTATCAATATTTACGCAGTAGGTACACTTTAAAACTTCGGCTTTATTAATGTTAAAATATTCTTGTTAAAACAAACTTATACCTTTTATTTTAAATTTCTACAAATAATTTATTTCACCTTACGTTTTATTATTTTAGGAATTAAAATAATGATGTTTATCTCTATGTTTAATTATTAAATTATTTTTGAAATTAATTAAATGCTTATAATTAAAAACTTTGTCTCACTGCTTATAGTATTTTCAAGTAGGTAGTTTTTTTTTTTTTTTAATTAGTTTATTTTATTTGTTTCTCCAATTCAGCTGTACCTTATATTCATGCAATTACTTGGAACATTTTTGATATTATTTAACTGGACATTTTGTTTCATTGTATATTTGTATGTATTTAATTAAATTACCTAGTTGTTTTAATTACTCAAAAGAAGTTCTTTCAAAAATTATCATTATACCTATTAATATATACCATTTGGTTTTTACTGTTTCAAGTAATATAATTCTAAAGGTCATACATTTTGAATTTTGAATCACGGTGATCTGTAATTTTACTATCATTACAAATTATAAATTCTTAAGTACCTATAGTGTAATGTTTAAATGAAATAATATATTATCCTAGTCATACCTAATATTTAGTATTTCATATTAAAATAATTCATAAAACATGATTTTTTTTACTCTGATAATTATACAAATGATTCAAATGAGTTTTTCTCATTGTTGACAAGTTTTATTTATTATTATATATATAATTGAGTCTTTACTCTTTAGGTATTTCTTAACACGATATTATATACTCGAACAGTGAACACAAAAAATAACTTATTTTGTCATTAAGCTCCCGTGCACCCGTCGATAATTTAAAAATACATATATTTTCATAATAATAACTACCTACAGAATAATTGAAATCGCATGTGTTCATCCAATTTGACGTAAAAAAGAAAACTGTAAACATGCCGTTGCAATCCAAATAACTAGCCATCCATTATTTTATTCTTTATTATATTGCAACACGATGCTATATTATTATGTTGTTTCTGTATGATCGATTCCCTGGCCTTTTCTCCTTCGAATTTAATTTAGTTTATGGATTTTAATTAAAATTCCAATCAATTACCATTTACCAATTTCCGTAATTATTATTTGTACAGTTACACGTGCGTACATGCGGGTACTTTATTGTATGCTGTGAAGCCATATTTTTATTAGTAGATATTATTACTTATTAGTTATTAGTAATACTGACACCAAGCAACAGTGTATTACACATTCTTCACATCAGTCGTTTGTATGCATCACAGCTGTTCAGATTTCTCGTTAAATTAATATTAGTACAAATGTCGAGGACAATAAAAAAATTGTTCACGTGTCCCTCTTATACATCAATGACGTCGTTACGCGTCAAAATTTCTCTCTGATATTTACCAATGGTCAGTCGGTAGGTACTCAATGTAGTATTTTATGATTATAGCGTTATATATACTTATATCTCAAACTTCACACCGTGGTAATAAATAATAATAACACAATGTAACTTACGTAGCGTCTTTTTTTCGTATATTATTATTTATTATTATATACATTCTCTATAGGTACTACTCTAATTATAATATATACTATATTATACATGATAAAATGTTATCGCTGAACGAACTCATATTTTATTATAATATTATGTACCACCTACGTGTAATATAACGCCGTGTATTTGTATTGTATTGAAATGTGTGTAGATCATATTACAACATGTACAAGTAAAAAATTATACGAAAAAGGCTATAATAACACGCGAATTTCTTCGAAGAACGCAAGCTACTCGTGACAGAGCATACATGCAGAGCATACACACTATATATAGAGTGGCGTGGTGACCCACCCACCCACTGGACGACGCCGACTCAAACTATATTATAATAATATATGTCTCCCCCGCATGGGCTTGCCTCTCCGACAATTTTCAAAGCTTCCCCAAATATATATTGGATAACAAGTCACCAACAATTTATTCTTCGGTGAAGCAAATCATTTACTAAGAACCTCGAATATGCTGCAAGACTATTTCTCAAATTTGGCAATTCGGTATTTTCTATTTTGAATGTGATTTTGTTAATGTATTAAAGAATGACAATAATTTGGAAATATAGTTTAAAATACTGAACATTTAAAATAAAATAAAAAAACATATTATATAATAGTTATATACTTCTGTATTAATTATATTTTTCAAGCAACTTATTATTTATGAACTCAGTAGAGGAGTGTAAGCCGTAGAAAAATGTTCACAAAGTTGAATAAAGAATAAAATATGAGGTTCTAGTGGCGCCTATGCTTCTCCGATATTTTTTCTTTTTTTACAACTATTAGATAGATTTAACCAAAGTACCAAGTGCCGGTGGTTTCATAGCAACATTGCCCCCCCCCCCCGCCGATAATTATTCGTTACAATGGAACATTTCTATCGTGTATGCATGAATTGATGTATGTAGGTAATAGCTATATACTCTATACTCTAAATCTCTAAATACTCTCCCCAAACAATCTTAAAATATGTATATTGACTTGTGGGTGTCTGCGTAACACTATAGAAAATAAAAAAAATCCCCTTAAATCACGAAAATGACCCTACCTATCAATAATAATTAACGATAATTCTCTGGAGTGCCAACAGGGGAGTTTTCCGTGGCGTGCAATCAACCGGTTATATTTACTCCGTTGTTGACTGCGCTCACTGATGTGATCCGGGACCGCAACAGTATAAAGAGTTATGACGTGTTG